AAGCGCGAAGTGGCGAGGGTTCACTGTACCTGTGTGTGTGAGGGGTGAGGCCCGGGTTACCCTGTTCTCACCTGTGCATGGCCCTCCTCATCCTGCAGGTCACCATTCAAGTCCCTTGTAAGCACATCCCCCCAGCATGGCAACCGCCACCGTGCCTTTGCCCCCTCCCTGACTGACTCTCTAGTTACAGGCTCCACTACACACGAAGGGCTGGCTGCATAGCTGTTCTATCTGCCCAGAAAGCACTGGCCATTTTTGTTGTCCTTGGCTGGCCCAGAACCCAGAGCCTCACGGAGTGTCCTGGCCACTGGAGAGAGAGACTCCGTCTACAATCAAACTGCTTGAAGCCACTTGGAAACTGTAGGGCCCATGACAACACCAGCAAGGATCTGAACCGTCATTAATAAGACATAGCAGTGGTCTGAGAGCATGTGGGCAAGGAGGCCCTGCTGAATGGGGCTGCAGTAACAGGGTTAGGGATGCCCAAGCCCATGTTTAGACGCCAGCACCCCCTTTTTCTCTTCCTGTGCTTCCTGAGGCTGAATCAGGATGGAACTTTGTGACGTTTGTCAGCGGGGTGCGGGGAGGAGGGAGCATTCATTCACTGTAGCCTAAGTCACCGTGCCCTCCCTGCCCTGCCCCCAGCTCCCAGACGGTGTTCACTAGACGGGGAGGCAGGGTGCAGATTTTGTGAGCTAGCAGCGTCCGTTCCTACTGCCTGGCCTGCTCCCTTTTAATAACGTTGTACAGCGAAGGCTTGGTCACAGGTTCTTTATGACCCTGCCTAAAGTTCTTTCTTCAAGATGTTAACATCATGATGACCATCGGGGATACATTCCTGTCCCGGACAACTCGGAGTGGGGTTCCACTTCGTCCCCAGACATGTTGCATCAGACCAGGCACCCCAAGGGATTGATTTCCTTTATGTTGTTGTGAGGGGCACTGAGTCCGTTGTAAAGACTCGTTTGAAAGACCCCGTGTGCGACAGAACGCAACCCCCGCCCCGTCCTCACAATCGTTCCTCTGTCCGAGCCCATTGTTGCAGCCCCTGTGTCCACGCAGCTCCCCCAGGGCCGCCTTCCTTCCCGCTGCCCTCTGCGGTACCAAGCACGAAGATGCCCTTCTCCAGGGACAGGTGTCCCCTGGCAACGTGTTCAAAGCATGTGAGACGGCCGTCCTTGCCTCGAAGGAGCATTCTGGCTGTACTTCTTGCGAGACAGGTTTGTTTTCGCATTTGGCAGTCCACGGTACCCTCCACATTCTTGGCCAGCACCATACTTCAAATGGATTTCTTGTTCTTTTCTTCTTCTTCTCCTTCTCTTCCTTCTCCTCCTTCTTCTTCTCCTCATCCCCCTCCTCCTCCTCCCCCTCCCCTCCCCATTCTTCTCCTCCTCCTCCTTCTTCTTAGAGTAGAATGAAAATGCCCCGGTGAGGATCAGGCACACCGTGGTCCTCAGAGTTACCGCTTCCTGTTCGAACACTCGAAGGCGATGTTGGGCAGCCTTTACTCAAGTTCCTCTCTAGATGCATGACAACTCTGGTTCTTGGGTCTTGGGGGTGGGTCCTCACCTGACTTCAGCTCTTCTCTAAGTCGGGCCAGCTCAATGCCCTCTCCCTCCCTCTAGGGGCCAGTGATGATAGGAAGGGAGAGAGGAAGCCAATCCCCCCGTGCCCATTGCCGCATTTCACAGAACCGTGACTAAGTTGTTAACAGAGGCCGTGGTGTCCAGGGACAAAACCAGGAGCTCGCATGCTCCCACTCCCAACGTCTCGGATTGTAACCCAGGTTACCGGGGTTACAACAACCACAGCAGTTGCTGCTGAGCGGACTCATGACGATGGCTCCAGTCATGCCACAGGAGAATGATGTCCCCTAGGGTTTTCAAAGACTGTCTTTTGGGAGCTAGATAGCCAGGGATTTCTTCTTTGGGGGTAATCAAAAACTCCAATCATTTGGTCAGCAGCTGGGTGCAGGAACTGTTTGTACCACCCATCCCATGGTCCCAGTAGCCCAGAGAAGGATCCCCAGATGTCTTCAAAAGGTGTGAAAGGACCCACAGAATGGAAGATGATTCCCTCATATCAGCTGGAGGGAAGAGGATGTAGAGGATGGGGGTGAAGTGGGGCGCATAGCACCCCTAGGTCAGTCCTCCAGCTGCCACTACAGCCCATTAGCCCAGAGAGACTTGCGTCGGGTAGGGGAGAAGCCGGAGCTAGGGGCTGTGCCTGGGCTCTCTGCTTCTCTGCTGTGCTGAGCTCCATGGGTGCCCCCCACAGGCATTTTAGAGCTTAGCACAGGACTCCAGACCAATCTTAAGCAGCCAGAGAGGAGGGATCGAGCTCACAGTCCTGCCACATCTCCACTGTGTGATGTGGGGTGGGGACAACAAGATCAACCTCTCATGGTCATTGTAAGGATTAAATTAATCACTGCTGGCCAAGGGCTTGGACTAGGGCCTGCCTGGCTCACAGTGACTGAAGGGTAATTGCAGTGGAGTGGTCTCTGTAGATGGGACAGCAGGCTCAGACACAGGAATGACCTTGCCCCAGGTAGAAAGGTGAGCTGGAGGTTGTAAGTATCAGGGTTTCTGGCTCCTGGTGAGCCCTTTCCCAGGGAGCCTCAGTCTTGGAGCCTTGGGTGGCTACTTTCCTCCTGTAAGGAAGTTCTTGAGAGGACTGCCCATGGGGCTTTGCACACACAGTTGAAGGAGGGTACATTTCCCCACACTTATCATCCCGAGAAAAGGTGCAGACTGTGCATAAATAAATCCATGGGGCCATTTACAGTAAGAAGTAATTAGGTCTTCAGAGGAGGGGTGTGGCTAGAAATTAAGTTCTTAAAACCTGGAGCCAGAAGAGCCAACACAAACACTGTAACACTTAGACCCTATAATTGGCCTGAAGATCAGTTTACACGACATCATTTTTTGCTTGCTGGAGGGTAACAGGGAGGCCAGATGTTCTCCGTGTAACGCACGCCAGCAAATCTGCACTGTGTTTGGTTAAGGGGGTGCTAGGGCGATGGAAGCCCTCACGGTGTCTGCGCGGGCCTTGAGGGAGCCCGGCTGAATTCTCTGCAGTAGATTGTATTTGGGTGGTTTGAATTAGGGCCATGATTTGGCTTTGACCTCAGTTTACCTCTGCTTCCTCATTTAAAAAGTACGAAGGCCAATCATTCGCACACATTCGCAGAGGAGGGCTCCACTTACAATCTCGGAGGGAAGGGCAACAAGCTCTCCTGCTGCGCGGTGGCTCAGTGGGATGTGTGACGGCGCTCTCCTGACAATTCTGAAATGCCAGGGCACATCACCGGACTTATGATAAGAATCCTAGGCGCTAAGTAGGGCTATCTTCTCTGTCCAGGGAGGAAGCGGAGGCTGCAGAGCTATTTCAATATCTCGCTCAAGATCAGTCAGTAAGCGGTAGACCTGGGATCCAGACCTCGCTCTGCCTGCCTCAGAAGCTTATCTGCTTTCCACAGCGGCATCCCAAACGCGGACGAAAAATGCAAACCGTGTCTCACAAGATTTGTACGTGGCATTCCACAAGGTAGCACTTGGCTCCGCTCCATTTCCACACAGCTGTCAAGGGATCTTTCCAGAACACGAACCAAAAAACCAAACCAGGTGCCATGCAACCCATTTTGATTTATGGTGACCCCATGGGGGGAGGGGGGAGGGGGTAGAAGGGCCCCCTAGGGTTTTCTCTCTTTCTTTTGTTAAGGTGTAGGATGGACTGACAGCAATTACAAATGATCAGCTCAGCTGGGCAACCCTCTCCATAATGTCATATTTCCAGAACGATTTACCATCCCCAACCCATGGCATTTTCCATGGCTGGGATCTTTGGGAAGTGGGTCTATTGCAGAACCAGGCCCGTTCACTCCCCGGTTCAAAGTTCTCCAATCCTTTCCCACTACCTTTACCGTGGACTCAAGATGCCTCAATAGAGCACGTGATCCGGTTCTTGCTGACTTCCCATCTTTGCATCGATTTCTTCTTTTATTGCCAGATGCCAAGCCTGTCACACGATGAGCCTTCCACGAATCTGTGTATCTTGGTAAAGACCATACGCT